GGAATAAGGTACACAGCAACAACCCATTTATGTCCCACTGCTTGCCAAAGGCATCCTCTGTGCAGAGAGTATTCGAGAATAATCCACTGCGGATTGGGACTTCGTATATCTTCGAAGTATCTTCTTTCATTATTATATGTCAGCTACGCAGGTTTCCTAATGATGTTTTCCTTCGCCGCTGAGCACGTGATAGTTAAGCAATTATAATGTCAAATAATAATTTACCTAGGATTTGAACTCAGGTTGCGTATACTAAATTAAATCACATACACGGACACTGTGCCATCACGACTGACACTCATTCTGCCATCTGGTGGCCAGACTTACAATTTCCCTCCGTTTTACTTGTGTCCGAAGATGTGATCAAAGGTCAAAAGATAAAATCACATTCCATTATATTTTTTTAGATATTAACTCATGTTTCCAAATGCCCTGTCGTTGATATAAAGCTGATTGTTTGGTTGACTATCCCTATATTTTTAAAGTCATAAGCAGAAAAATTGCAGCATTTTTTTGTAAAATTTAATTACAGCGACATCTATACTTGGAATGAGATAATTATGATAATTTTTTTCACACTTTTAAAATTAAAAATTCAATTTCGCTAATTATTACATGGTCATAAAATTTGTTTTGGGTCATAATCCATTTTAATTTTGGCATAGTTAGGCACTCTTTTAATTAAATGGTCACTCCAGTCCTTATAATTCATTTTAATGATAAATATAAAGAAGGAATGAAAATCTAAAGCGAAGTATAATAAAAATATAAAGTGTAATAAAAATATAAAATATGAAGTATAATCTAGGAATAATAAAATAAAAAAGGAATTTTAATGTGACCGTTAAACTAAGAAGCTGTACCAAATTGGACATTGAGTGGCGTATAAATATAAACATTTTCCATGGCGGATATTACGCCAATAATACTGTTCGTATGGGACTACCGTATAGTAATTACGGCTTACGATGTTGTCCCACAACAATGTAAAATCCACGCCGCCTCAAAATCTCGGTATCGACGAAAAGAGCGAGACATCGATATGTTATCGCACGTCTCTGACGATTATGATAACTCTTTTTAGAGTATCTACATGCGGGCACCAATTTCGCTCAGAGAAATCAACCGGGAACTAATCGCTTGGAACTTATAATTTCAAATAATTACAGTTCTGGGTAGAAAACGGTCCTGCTACTAGCTGGGCCGCTCGACGCTAGGTTATAAGAACGTTAGTTTGATTTACCTCATTGGTTTAATGGTTAAAGTATATAGATACAAAACCGCAAACCTGGAGTACGTAATCGAGACTAGGGCTGCGCTTCCACCGGAAGGCGAACCTCTAAATTCAGTGACCCCCGAAGAGGTCCAAGATATTATTAAAAATTTAAAACCAAAATCCGCCCCGGGCCCAGATAATATAAGTAATAAAATTCTCAAAGCTCTCCCTGGGCCGCTTATCTGTTTACTGGTGACCATTTTCAATACCCTTCTCTCCAATTGCTCCTTTCCGGACGACTGGAAGCAAGCCACGGTTATCGGCATTCGCAAGCCGAATAAACCAGCTAATCAGCCCTCTAGCTATCGTCCCATCGGCCTCCTCAGTTGCTTGGGGAAGCTCTACGAGCGGCTCTTGTTAAACAGGCTCAAAGAGAAATCGTTTAATAATAATAATTTTATTACGGTTTTACGGAAAATATTCACTTAACTAACATTATTATATTCTCAGACTACATTTTATAATACATTATTTCAACCGGGCACATATCGGCCCATTAGCTCAGTTGGTTAGAGCGTCGTGCTAATAACGCGAAGGTCGCGGGTTCGATCCCCTCATGGGCCACTCTACTTTTTGTTAAGATTTAATTTAAAATATTTTGTAACTTTTCATTAGGATATATTTTATTAAATTTAAAAATTGTTTACAAAAAAAATATTTTATTAATGAAACAATCAATGCTATCGCTACACTTTCTAGAGCGAAAGAGAACCAGTTCTTATTACATAGTTGTGTAAATATACAATGGTGTTTATATCCATACAAATAAGGTAAAATGTTCATGATATAAATACTAGGAACAAACATAAATTGATCCTAGCGACAAGTAGACTGCGTAGAATAAGTAAAGCTTTTATGACACAATGTAAACGTTTCTACAACAAAATCCATTGAATTTGAATTGAATTGAATAGTGATTTAATTTTCATCCAATTTTCACCCATGTTTACAAAAAAAATATTATACCTACTATTTTATTAGTTTATCAATCTTCATATGCTTTTAAAATAAACGAGACGTAGGTCCATAAAGAGCGTTTACAATATAATAATAAAATCTAAAATCTAAAATCTAAAATCAATAATAACATAATAAAATATAATGAAATCTAATAAATTTAATGAACAATGAAAACTAATTAAGTCAGGTATCCAACGGCGAAACCGCTAGGTCGTACTGTGATAGTTCACAGTTGACAGTACCTACCTGTAACCGATATTCATGAGGAAAGCCTAAAAAATGCCGAGCTCTACCTTCCTAATCTCTACGGCTGATAGGGTTAGGTTAGGGTTTGTTTTATTTTACATGTATGTAAAGTCGCCCATTGGCTCCAAAAAACAAATTGCCTTTTTATAACAAAAATTGGTACATTTCGAACACTAGTGATACGACTCTACAACGAAACAAAACTTTAATCGGCCCGTTTCCCTCCTTGGACACTGTTAGGTACCGCTCGTGGGCAAAATGAAGTCGGGCGTTTAACAGAATATGTTCTCGATTAAAAATTTTGAAATCATTCCTTATCATCGAATGGCAGATAACTAAACAAGACTTATGTAAATCTATAGGAACCAAAGAAAGAAATTAGAGTACCGTGACATCGGGCATATGAGTATTTTTTATCCGAATACCGACCAGTACTTGACTATATCTCACTTGTACGTAAAGATGCAAATGGTAAAAGCACTAGTAAGTTCATAATAGCCTATTCACTCTTACTTATAGGACATTCACGTTATGATCGGACGGCAAAACTGACGGATATTATTTATCTATAACAATTATTCAGCACTCGTTATTTTACGTTAAACAAGCTAAGACGAACATGTCGGTACGATGGAACTCTTTACAGTTGCTAGCACAATAGGTAATAACATTGCGATGTTTGTCTTTGGAAGCACCGTAAGCCACTCTACGGATTATTCATTTACAACTGTCATGGTGGTAGGTACGAAAAGTCTAACTTTATTTCACGTTTCATGCTTCTTATTGATTAATTAGTTCAAAAGCGCAAGGTCCTTTGGATTCGTGTCGGATTATATTGTGGTGTTTGGCATAACGCACAAGAATACAGCTAAAGGAGCCTGATGTCTTAATCGATCGATTTGAGGTAGTGCGCGATCTTTACCTGATAGAAGTCTTCGCGGTTAAAAGACCCAACAAAAATACCTAATAAATAGAGTTCGGTCTTGATTGCCCGGCATTCGATAAAGAGATTAATTTTAAATGTAGTAGTAGTTTAGGCGTTATTTCTGTCGCGTACGGTTCAAATTAATCGTCATAGACAGATTCGTCGGGTGCGAATATTTATAATTTTAAAGGAAACTAAGAAAAAAAACGACTCCATTGACAATGATTCTATACTATGATGATGAAACAAAAATAAAAATAACATAAATAAAAATTAAAACGTTCGTTAAAGCCGGCGACATCAAAAGATTTCTTTTGATTTGGATCGATTTGAATCAAGATTTAAAAGAGCTTGAAGTACTAAAATTCTTCGGATGTTCTACATTTCACTCTGTTGGTAAGTTACGAATTAAATTACTTGTGCAAGTAAAGAAAAAACGAAAAACTGTAAATAACTTTATTCATAGAAATTATATTAAGACACAGATATATCCGTTACAAAATATACACACAAACAAACAAGATAAAATAACTTACAAATCCAAAAAAACATGCTTTATACGACAGTTACTAAGAACGATATAAACATAAAAAACAAATTAAAACAATCATCAAAAAAACAGCTAAAAACAATTAAAATAGATTTATTAGCCTCTGTTATGAAATAGCCTTCGTAATAATGTAACAAGCTGCTTTTCCAGTCGAAACTTCTAAGATACCATTGATTGCACAACCGGCCGCGAAAATTTACAAACTTCTAATAGACAATAAATAAATAATAGTTAAAAGTACTTTATTTACATGATACGATATAATAAAATTAAACTATAATTTTAATAAAAAAATGACAAAAAAGAATTAAGTCTAAAAAGAACGGTTAAAACAACTGCTGGACAAAGCCGAAGGTGGGTTTTTTACTTTTCAATTGTCGATATTTTTAAAATTAAAAATAAATTCATTAAGTATATAGAGACGGTTTCACACTTCAATCTCGCTTTGTATCATTCATCACTTCACTTATTTACACATAGAATACTTTTAATATAGTCGTTTAAAGTGTAATATAAAATATATTTATTAATAAAAAAGTTATTGACACAACGCCAATAACTGACAATAACGGACGTTCAGAAATTATGTCCGATTCGTGAATCGTAATTGCCAGGTATCTAGTAGCACGATGTGTTAGAGTACAAGTTATATGAAGGAAAAACTAACCTGCTGCTTAAACATAAGGCGATTTGGCGATTGTCTTTTATTGGCGTATAAAAATTTAATTAGATTTAATACAATAAGGAGCATCTACACTGGACGGTTTTAACGTACTACGGTTTACAATGCGATTCAAAAAGAATAGAACTAACCTCGCGCCATCTTGAGACGTCACAGCTGTCAATTTAAATCACGTAAGGGGAGCAATATAACTAATATATTAGATTATTATACATTCTTATAAAAATATAAAAGTTTTTGTCGAAAATCTATTTTATTTGCAAGCCGTACTTTTCACATGACAGTTGACACGCGGCCATTCGAGGTCATTGACGCTGCTACTCTTCCTTGAAACGCATTATACGTTAACGACGGAGCGTCAACACTGGACGGTTTTTACGTACTGCGGCTCGTCGGAGTTCCGTATGGAAGCGACCGAGGAGCGTCCGTCGCGGCCGGTGACTATGGAGATCACGCTCCTGTGCTCCGAGTCGCTGTCGCCGCTGAGCGCGACGCCCTCGCCGACGAAGCCGGAGTCGATCTGCTCGTGGGCGGACGCGCACAGGCCGAGCTCAGCGCGCAGCTGCCGCGACTCGTCGAAGTTGCCGAAGAACACTGAGTCCGTCTCGACGCTCTCGCCGCCCGACTCGCTGCGGCCGTCGCACAGCGACTCCGGGTCCGAGTCCGATTCGACGGGCGGCCGGACGGGCGACACCCTCGGTGACAGCCTTGGTGACAGCCTCGGCAGGGGCTCGGGTGCCCTGGGCCGCAGCTGCGCCAGGCAGCGCGCCCGGCACTTGGACTCGTTGGAGTCCGTGCTCAGGTAGCCCGAGTCTTCCGTGCGGCAGAGCTTCCTCAGGTCGATCCGCCGCGAGCGTGTTCTGGAAGAGCGCCGGCCGGAGCGACGCGCGTTGAGGTTGTCGCGACAGGCTTGTTGCACCCGCTCCCTCTCCTCGGATCTCTGCCTCTCGCTCGGAGGGCTGTACTTCTCGGCGAGGCGGCGTTGCTTCGGCGGCAGCGGTGGTTTCGGCTCGCTTTGGGCTTCCAGCTGGCGAATGGCAATCGGAGGTCTAGAGGACTTAGCGTATGCCGCCATATCGAGGTTGCCGTAAGGTAGGCTACCACGCCTGCCGTAATACGGCCGCACGTCGCCTTGAGATTTGGTCTTGGCCTCGTAGATTTGTCTGAGGCTTCCTATCTTTCTCGTGAAGATCGCCTCCGGCGGTGTTTTTCTCTCCATTTGTGCGTTTTCGTTACCGCTTTGCCCCACCGCCTTATTTTTGAAGCTTCCCCCCGATTTCAGTAAAATCTTTTCGACGGATTTCTTGGCCTCCCGTTTCGGTTTCCTATCAAGAGTGTCAGGATCAAAGTCGTCGTGTATCCTCGGTCTGTTGTCGACGGGGGAACCTCTTACTTCTATTGTCAAGGGCCCCGGATTTTCAACGTTGTTGTATAACGGTTCCATTGTATTTATAAAAACGTCGTTCGTTTCTACGTGACATGCATTCGAACCTCCTCTAAATTGCAAGTTGATCGTTTGTGACTCTTGAGAATTATCGACTGCTTGCTTTATATCACGCCAGCTTCTGGATAATCTCTCGCGTGGTGCTGCCGGATTCCTCTGTACGTCGTGCACTCTTTGTGTCAACTCGGAACCGAAGTCTAGTGAAAATCTTCGACGTTTCAACATATTCCTTTCCAAGCTGTCAAACTCCATATTTACTTCGCTGAGCGGTGGGTTCTTACGAACGTTCGATAGAGCGTTATCGTCGCTGTAATAATGTGAGTCCGCTGCCACAACTGGTATTATCAATTTCGGTATACTAGAACTTGCGGCCAATAGGCGCAATTTCTCCATTTCTTCTTCCTCCGACCTCGTACATTTGTTTAGCTCTTTTATCACGGCCTCCATTTTCACTTTGACTTCAGGTAGCACTGGCTCATTGTCTTCGACTTTAGGTGGTTCCGGAGATTTGACTGGCGGCGGTGGCGGGGGCGGTAGCTTTTTCCTCATAACGCGCCTCGTCGCGTTACTCGACGGGCTTCTCTTGTCTTGCGCTCTCTTACTCGACGATGGCGACACCTTACCTCTACCTTTCGGACTTTGTTCTTGGTGGACGGGTACCGGAACTTGAATGTGCTTATTTTTTTCCTGATCCCGCCTGTCAACACTTTCTTTAGGACGCCTATCGTTTAAATACTCTTCAACGAACGTTTCGGACACTTTCTTCGAATCCTCCTTGGGGGACCGAGTCAGTTCGCTTCTTAAAGGTGACACTGGAGTGTGGCAGATCTCTTCTTTTTTCTTTGATTCAATCACTCTCGGGGTCCCGCTAACCTTGGCGACAGATTTCACGGCTTTTATTGTTTGCGAGGGCGAGGGTACCTCGTCCAACCATTTTTGGACGATACTCTGTTTGTAGTCATCGCTGACGCATGTTTTGCAAGAGTTGGACCTGATTAAGCCGGGGGCCCTTTGCGATTTATCATTGCTGTCGCAACCAGGACATCCACCGCAATGGATGGCCCTCCTACTGTTCTCCCGCTTAAGACTTATCGCGCTGAACCGCCTGCCGCGTCGCGCGCAAGGTATGTCCCATCCCAAGTCTACGGTATGGTACAACTCCTCCTCTGGTATGTCCGACAGCATCGGTATGAACCTTTTTGACAGCATCTTCTCCTTAGCGATCGCCATGATTTCGCGAATTTTTATCAGAAAATCTATAGCGGCCGGTGGTGGATTCTGGAACAGAACTTTTTCTTAGAATTAATCACGGCATTAATGATCATATTCCGCATACCGAGTAAGTAATAAAACGTTCGTGTTACCTTTAGGTGTTCGACCTCGAAGAACACCGGGTTGAAGTAGAGCTTCCTCCTGATAACTGGATCGACGTTGGACGGCTGATTGAGATTTGCCATCGCACTATTATCGACGCTGCAGTCGATGATCGACAGATCGGAGTGCGGGGCTTTCTCCAATTCGGGGGAGGCCGACCGCCGCTGCAGCCTCTCCGTCATCCGCTCCGGTATCGGAGCCCGAATCGACGGACGGGACGGTTTTCTCCGTGGCGAGTGGACCATTGCTGACACAATATTCGAATTCATACCCTGAAACTGCACAATGGTGATTTTGAAAATGGAACAAATTCTGTCGGCAACTTCATTGCGTTACTGTTACCTACTAATGGCAGGGCATTCATTTGTTGTAATTAACCTTAATCTATAGAAGTCTACTCACTATTAAATGCAAAACTGTGTAAACACGGTAGCTTGTGAAGTGTTAAAGCGAATGTGAGCACGATTAAATATGTAGTAAATATCCTAAAAAGATGCACTATTTTTCAGTAAAAGTATGCTCACTGAGCGGCATTCTCTCTGCGCATTGCTTAGAGAGAATTCCGTAAATGAGTATTATTAATTAATCTACCATGCTCTCTACTAGAATATGCACTAAATCGGAACTTACTTTCTGGAAATTGTGTGGCGAGTCCAGTGTATCCTCGGTTTGTTCGCTGACATCAGATAGGCCGGCGTCGTTAAAGAAGTCATTCCGCATGCTATCCAAGTTCAGTAACGGATTTGTCTTCAATCTCTGTGGATAAACAGGGTGTTATAAGAAAAACAACAACGGTATGTAATCAAAAAGATATAAGTAATCACATATTTAACTAACTAATGACTCGGTGGTGCAATTGGGTTCGATTTCCAGATGCCACTAGTATTTTATGACATATCAGGATTCGGGTGTTTATTTCTAAGAAGTCAGGCAGGCAGTGGTTCGTAAAAAATCTAACCAACACCATTATCAATATGATTGACATATTGTGCCGAACTCACCTTAGTGAGATGAAGACAGAATAAAGAAGTAAATGTGATTCATAGTAAAAAGCTAGGGTCAAAGTAAAGCGTGAAGTGGAAGGCTTTCTTTCTGTCGTCTGTTCCGTGCGGTAACTAGCGATCACTTTTTAAAGGTTTGCAACGCATCTGGAAGCCCACAGGTGTTGTAGACGTCCATGGGTAGCTTGAAAAGTTTATTTTTTATTTGGATTTGGAGGAAAAACCAGTTCTGTTGTCTTACCACGTTATCCAAATCTATGCGCGAGCCTAGCGTCGAGCCGTTATCAGTGGAGGTAGTGTTGGACATATTCATCTCCGCGTCATTCCTCTTGCGCCTCTGCTTCTGCTTGTAATGTATGTAGAAGATTATCCCGGCCGCGTACACGAAGACCAGCATGAGAACACAGACCCCAATGGCTAAGGACTCCAGGACGCTCAGTCCCTTGCTCTGGTTCGATGGATCGACGCTCACGATTTCACCAGCGTGGAACGGAATGGAGCGCACGTCTGCAAGCGACACGTTGATTACGAAACGTTCATCACAGTTGTTACAACGGGCGAAGCGTCATATGAAATTCTAGAAATAGCAGCAAGGAAATCAGCACAAACTTTATGTTACAACGAACCATTTAAATAAATTAAAATCACTGCGATTCAGTATTTATTATTATAAAATGTGATTTTTTTAATATAAATAGACAAAAATTTTCAGCGCAATGGAATCAGACGCTCAACAACTAATCCAAGACCTTACGGCGTGATAATCTCGTCATCTGTATCTACTCTCTCTATTTTATTTTTAGAATTGCTTGCCACCATCTACTGTACATTCTTTGCAGCATGAACAAATTACAAACAATACTTAACTATGAACTGTTGTAGTACCACGCAATAGTCTTGGCATGGATGGGTAGATCAGTACGGGTAAGTACCACGACCTCATAGAAGACTGACGTGAAGCGGTAGTTTTATACTTCTGCGTTTCGTCTGGTCCGTGAGGTGGCCCGGGCCTACTTTATTAAAAGGTGGCAACACATCTGCAATCTTAGGGGCGGTTATGTTATGTTACAAATGTCAATGGGCGGCGGTTATCTCTTAAAATCAGGAGAACCACCAGCGCGCTTGCCTCCTTCTTAGAGATCAGAGATATATTATTCAAAAAAATGTACAGAAAACTACAAGCTTGCTTATAGCAATGTCAGTAAAATTAGGTCCTACTGCTCGGCGAATACCTTCCCTATAAACAGAAGATAGGAATAGCAGTGTAGCGTCTGCCGGAAAATAAACGATCAGCGTTATAATCAGATATGTACCAAGTAGGCTGTTGTGCGTGGCACCGGCGATCCTGAAGGCGGCACAGGAGGCGGCAAGCCCCGTGGGGGCCAACGTGGAACAGAGCACGTGGACGGTCACCAGCCGTCCTTCCAGACGATCGTGAAGAACTGACGACCCTCGCCACTGAGACAGGAAAGTCCGCACGTTTAGTATCGCCACGTCCGATGCTCCCGTGTTCCAAAATAGTAACGAAGTGCATTGTCATTATTAGTAATATAAAATCACTGCTGGACGAAATTTTCGCACAATACCGTATTCCGTACTATTATATAATTATGAAACATTAGCTTTAAACTTTAAAATGGTGTTTGTATCATAAAATTTGAAAAAGATTTATGGTATTTAAGTACCTCACTCAGTATTCCTTTTTATATGATTTTAAGGAGTTTCCTGGTGTACCTTTGGTGTCCAAAGTCCAATACCGTATAAAATGCATTTTTAGAATCGATTCATAAATGACGGAGTTCTGAAGTAACGAACATAGAAGAACACAACTGAATGGAGCCTCCTCCTTTTTGAAGTCGGTTGTAAAAGTACGACCTTTTACAAAACGCATTCAACCCTACTGGTCATAGTGTAGAGTTCTAAACAGTTATAATTAACGCTAACGCGGTGAATGAACATGTCCCAGAGTAAAAATTCGTGAGATCTTGAACTAGCAAAGACATTTTAGCCTGCAATTTTTGCACGTAATAATCACGTGTGAATAGTGTTATTAATGGTATTGGCTAGGTTTTAACAATCGGCCGACGGTCAGACGTCAGCCCTTCTTGAGAACAACCACCCAGATCCGTGTCCGATCACACTAATACTTGTCCCGTGTGGGAATCTAACCCACGATCCCCGGCGCTGAAGCCAATGGCACCTGCACCACCGAATCATCTCACATAAGGAAAAGTGAACGTGGCCAGTACATCGAAATTCTAAACCAGGTTCTCAGATCGCTACTCCACGTCCAACTAGCATTACAGCCATCTCTAATGTAGTAACAAATCTGTAGTCGCGGCGTCGCGCGCCGATTTTCTCTCGATCTGCAGCGATATTCTTGTCTTATAGCGAATTAGCATTGTAGATCCCTGGACGCAGCCATCGTCTGCATACAAGGGCGTCGCGCCGAATGCCGATCGGCGGGAAATTAAACGCCGTGAATGACGTGCTTTTGCGCTGCGCCGTATCACTGCGCTATCGGGCCGGGCCAATCTTAATGCGGAGATATGTGGACAAATTATACAAATCGCTCCTTTTACGCCTCCGCCCTTATCGCGCGAATATATCGGATGAGCGCGCTGCGTCGGATTTCGACACACGCGCCGCGTGACGCGCTCAATTCCGGGTGACGTCTTGTATTTTTCTTAGGGATAGTATCTCGCGCCGTACAGTTTTGTAGGCCTTTATAATGAACTGGAATTATCTTATTCCATCTTTTTTTCTAATGAAGTAACCAAAGCGTTGGATCGCCCCGATTTAAATCTAATAACACTAAATATAATAATAAAATCACTAAATCTAATACCCTAAATCCTGAAGGCTCATTAAAAATGCATCTCGATACTGTTATTTATTAATTACTGCATTATATCGCTCTGCTACCGGTGCGAAGTCGAGGCGGGTTGCCCGTGTTTAAATAATTATCAGTGTAATAAATTTATATGTCACCTTGATGCTTATTTTATTCACGGTGTTTCGAAATATTGAACGAAAATAACCAAACGTTTTACAGTTTTGAGAGCCGTGATTGCCCAGTGTTCGGGCGCTCGCCTTTAATTCAATATACTCGAACAACCTGAGATCGATCCCCGGTGCCCCGGTTTCAAGTGCTGAATTATCACGTGCTCAGCGGTGAAGGAAAACATCGTGAGGAAACCTGCATATTTTAGAAATAATAATAATAAAAAGAATATATATTTCGAAGATATGTGAAGTCTGCCAACCCGCAGTGGGGCCGCGTGGTGGACTATTCCCTAATACCCTCAGTACAAAGGAGGTCTTTGCTCAGTAGTGGGACATGTATAGGCTGATACTTTATTTTTTTTCTTTTTACAGTTTTCAATCGTTTAATAATAACATATAATTATATGATATTTTACTGATAATAAGTAGTTGTAAAATAGCCGGAAACATATAAGTATAATCGAAAGTTATCACCTTTTATTAAACGTTGAAGATACAACCAAGGTCGTCGGTACTATCGTCGTCAAAACTTTTCATTAATAAGATATTCTTTAGACATCAGCAGTTCCAAAATTATCGACTCAAAAAATCGCATTATGTACTTAAGTGGGAACTTAATAAACGTATCCACCCGATCTGTTTTACTGCAAATGACGTCGTTTAAAATTATTAACAAGTGAACTTCGACGGGCGTCCATTCCAATGACATAAAATGTTAAGAGAGTTTAGGCTGTTACCATAATGATTGTCGCGAATCGAACTGGATCGGGAGAACCTGATCGTTCAGAAATAACGCGAGTCAATCCACGGGTGGCGCGGTCGATCAATATGTTTATGGATTCTACTTAAATAAAGAATTTAAAAAGCCATGTGGGCGTTCGACTTTGTTTTCTAAATTCTACGCTCTGGCTCTGTTTGTTCATCGGCGCAGCTTTTTTAATGTGAGAAGGTTGCAAACGAGCTGGTGGTTCACCTGATCAGTGCAACGCCCGTAGCGTTGCAGATGCGCCTTTTATGTAATAAATGTGTAATTCAAAGGTGATTTGATGACTCCGTAGCGCCGTTGCCAAGGTATTGGCTTCGGCGTCGGGGGTCGTGGGTTCGATTCCCACACGGGACAACTATTTGTGCGACCCACAGATAGTTGTTTCGCATCTGGGTGTTTGTCCTCGTGCAATTTATGTTTGTAAAACGTCCTTACAACACAGGATAATGTTATCCTAAAGTGAGGGCAATGTTTAAAAAAAAAAAGTGTATTGAACACAGTGGGCTCCTGATACCTCACTCAACATACTATGCGTGGGAGTATAACACTTCAACTTCACGGCGGTCTCCTGTGAGATCGTGGTGCTTCCCCGGACGGATCTGCCCATTCTTACAACAGCGGCGACTATAGCGTGGCCCTACCACACCTAAAGCTTTTAATCTTTCAATATTTCAAGCAGTGTTATGAGTAATTACGACCAGATTTCTTCAAGACTCCGTCGAACGCGAACTGTTCGGCGAACGCTTCAAACAAATCTACTTTGCAAGAAGTTTGACATGCTATGACAAGCGCGTCAAACATAATTTCAATGCAAACACACGGTAACAAATTATTTGGCAAACACGACAATACTTGTCAAACAATTAGAACGATTAACCCACTCGAAGTCACAACTTACTACGAAGACAACGTAAAAGAATTAAAAACGGACCAGTTCCGAGTAAAAGGATAGTTTCTCAGCAGTGATGATGCTATCTCTCGGGTCTATCAGAACCAGTCGCAACGCGGATCCTTGTCTAAACGGTACGAGCAGCAACTAGAATTTCAGGAATAACGAGCGGTCAGCGGAATATGCGAGGGACATAAATAGATGTCGGAAGATACCGAAATGCTCCGTTTCTAACGCCCGTACCGTAAATATCCGTACGTCGACATACTTCGGAAAACTTCGCCACCTTCATTACAATCCTTTTATTGCCGAATAAAAAACTTTACGACCTATACAAGTTTATAATCGATCGTATTATTTGAAAGGTATTAATTGTAAAATTTCCTGTCCGCATTTATAACTATAAAGCAATCCATAAGGTATACCACTTGTTTATTGTTTTTAAGCCTTAGTACGATATATTTGACATGTGTAATTTTCTTTTATTGAATATGTTGAGATTCCTGTGGTGTTCAATCGTCATGTAATTACAATTTTGATGCCTCTCTCGTTAAATTTGAGAGCGCATAAATATTTTTAACATTTGAAAACGAAGCTGCTATATTACACGGATATATCGAGATTTGATTTAGGTATAACCAATTTAAAAATATAACGAAAATAAATATAAGCATTAAATCGATTTAAAATAACTTAAAATGAAGTACTTTTGCGAATGAGAATGCAATTAATTTGAAATACCTGATCCTACGGCTAATTAATTTAAAATTGAATATAAACTAAATGTATAAAATTGAATATGAAATAATAATTTTTAATTTAAACATAACATGTGCTAATTTTTTAGACATTGTCTTTCTGTGGCTGCAGTGGAATGTGTTAACGTGGTATTATTTCAATGTCAAAATGTTTTATAAAATGGATAATAAGAAGGCAGTTTCCGAATACGAATATTCGTATACGTATGCGGTCCACAACTGATGGAAAAATATACATACATGTTTGGAATATTATTAAATGCTCATTAAAAAAAATATGTATCTATCTGTAAATAATTATAATCAAAATATTTTCGAGATTAATTTTGTTTAAAGTAATTAGTTTTGAACATTTAGAGCCATCCTCAAAATGCATAGCAAACACTTTATAGATTAAATTGTAGTAAGCCTGCAACAAATTGAAAACATAAAGTACAAATTTATAAACGACAAATTCTTTATGTTTACTCGATATAGTTCTCGCTTGCTATAAACAAATACTAGATATAAATCTTATATTGTTTAAATAAATAGATATAAATTGTATAAATAAATAATGTACATTTCAATAGAGATTAATCTTCTTCTTTAATTACAACACAAACTAAACTTTTAAGATTTACAAAAATAACATTTCCCGTATGCAGTCTGAAACGAAAAAAATTTCATGAGACTGCTACATCTCGCAACCACAGTATGAATTTGGCATAGTTGTCCACAGACTTAAATTATCTGGATGTGGCTCTTTGTTTAGTATGTTTATTTTAATAAGATTTAATTCTATTTTATGTTTATACACCTCTAGGGCTATTTTAACTGTATTATATTATTAAATAAAACTAGACGGACCCATCCTCGTTGCAAATAATTATAACGAACTAACGGATACCAGAACGTTCGTAAACGGACATTTTGTGTCGTAATGAAAGTTAAATTGTGAAGAAACGCCTTCGTATTTTCCTTCCTCAGTAATCTAACCGACTTAACGTCGTCATTTATAGAAACCAATCCCTTCGCGCACCTCTATCTGAATTTGTTCGCGACATAATTCATTTTCAATACTATAACCTATATTTGAAACTTCATTAACGACTTGAAAAAACATATTTAACTAAGAAAAACTAAGTATAACAATTTGTTTATTTATTTTTTATGATGCACTACGAATAAAAACAATAATGAATTATAACATATAAAATTAAATAAGGCATAGAAATACATAAAGAAATATAATCCGTCAGAAGAACACCTCGCCTTTGTAATTACTCAATAAAAGTGTTTTATAATTTATTTTGTAGTTACGTAATACAATATCTTAGTTAAATTTAATTGTTAATAAAATTTTAATTGTTTACAAGTGGGAGATTAGCAATTATTCGCGTATATAATAAATCACATATATATATATACGAACTCTTTGTATTCATTTTTTTTATGGTGAAGGCAGTCTGTGTCGCTTATAATAGCTCACAGATATAAAGGGACTATTTGGATTAATATCTTAAATGTTTTACACGGTGGGGTCGCCTGTGCTGCTTTAGAGATTAGCCCCAGTACGAGCGTGTGGGTTTTTAGATATGGCTGATGGTAACTGATCAGCCCACGGACACTCGTATCACAAAATAGGTAACAAATGCGTTGCCCGATGAGTGTATAAAAGTTACAGAAAAAACATGTGCCTCTTATGGAAAAGGTAATAAAGTCTGCTGCATTGTGTCCAGAGGCTCTATTTAAGAATTTAAAATTTTATTTCATCAATTTCTAGCGCTTAGAACAGTGCTTAATTCGTTCGAAATACAAGTAAACATCGTCAAGTTAACAAACAAGTTATCGTCCATTTCCAGTAAATTTATATCCTTGTGCATCATGGCCATTTGCGTGATCTGCTTTCAACAGCCGCCGAGCGATAACAATCTTTTTAAGCTAACGTATCACAGAGCTTTACAATATTACAATTTAATTGCTTATTTTCACTCAAGCAATGACCAATAAATATGTGGAAAAAATCACCGCATTTCGACAAACATTGGGAGCTAATAACCATATTATCGAACTTCAATAAAAATCTACTTGGGTGGCGGTTTGATCTCGTCGTCGATAAAACTGTTGTTTCCAATCTGCTAATTCCGTCGTTTGGGATATAAAGGGATCGTTTTATGCGAGAGAAATTATTGAATATTTATATTTTATTATGTTGAAGTGGGGTTACCTTGAGGACTGTACCTATCACCATTTCTTTAAAGTGCATACTCCATGTTAATATATAATATGAGAATTGGGAAATAAAAATTGCGTAAGAAAGTCATCTTTCAGTTTCCCATTGACTATAGCTAGGCATTAAAAAGCTAGTAGTAAGTATTGCAACTGTCAATAAATCATAGAATGATAGAACATATTTTACTTATTATTTTATTCAACATTTTTGAAAAGACTCGCGCACACCACAAAATAAACCTCGCTTCGCGGGAGGCTTCACATGTATAATCATGGACACAAAGTACACCCCGACTGGTAAAAACAATGCATGGAGCACGCAATTTTACTGTATTAGGGCCACGCAACTATCTTTGGCTATTGCACGAATGCGCAGGTCCGTCAGGCAGTATCACGACCTCACGGAAGACCGGTGTGAAGTGGAAGTGTTATATACTTCAGTGTTTTGTCTGGAGAGTGATGTAACCGTGCCCACTGCATTAAAAGGGGCAACAAATTGCCAGTGAAGCAAATGCCCATGGGGGGCGGTCTACTCAACATCAGGTGAACCACCAGCTCGCTTGACAGCTATTCTCATTAAAAAAATGTATGAATACCTGCAAGTAGGTGCTCCCTTCGTCCCTATAGAGCGCGAAGGGCACGTCGTTGTCGACGAGGTCCCTAAATGCTACCCAGCCCGAAGGTGACAGGTACTGCGCGCTGGTCACCGCGCATACCGCGTCTTCCACGTCTGAAAAAGTTGCAGATTAAGAAGACCCTGTCCTTAGAGGTAGGTAGTGGTAGAGCCATGTGTTAAGTATTATATTATCATATGATATTAAGAGGATAATTATCAAGTCTCAAAATTATGTTTCTTATTTCAATTCCCATAAACCTATAGTCTCAATGATAAAAATTCTTGAATAACCTACATGTATTGTAAGACTAGCTGCTGCCCGCGACTACGTCTGCGTAGAATAGCAAGTACTGCGTAGTAGTAGGGATAAATTGCGTGAAAGAGTAACAAACATCCATCCATACATACAAACTTTCGCGTTTATAATATTAGTAAGGATGCGTAGGGTATCAGTCTACATAATTATTTCCCACAGCTGGGCAAAGGTCTACTCTGTACAGAGTATTTCAGTGTATTTCATTTCAGATTGGCGGATTTCACACATTTTCAAAAATGCAGCTTTCCTCACGGTATTTTACTTCATCACTGATCATGCGATAAACCCTTTTATAACAAAAATTAATTTTATCACTATTTCAGTGAAAGTAAACCTACATTATTTCGCCACCAAATTTATGGTGATATCTGCGAATCAAATAAAAACTTAAGTACACCTATGGCCTTTACATATAAGTACATTTAGTTTTAAAATTTGCTCCTTATAAACGGCGACATATACTATAATTATATTCCCTAATTACAATGAAAGACTTCGCTCTTACTGACTGAACGTTTAATCATTTTTTTAATTCATTAATAGTTGGCTTACGTAACAAACCCACGCGGCATGGTGCCATAAACTTTTGAATTTTTTCACTGACTGGTTGGTTATACTTAACCTTGGACCGAAAGGAATGGTTTTTGTTATACCTAACTCACAATAAAAGTTAAAAAACGATTAGTCAATAACACTTTATCTATTTATGTTACAATTTCAGCGTTTAATTATAATCCGGTATGGTCTAGTGGCTAGGATACCTGGCTCTCACCCAGGAGGCTCGGGTTCGATTCCCGGTACCGGAATAGTATTTTTTTTATTTTATACAATTTTAGAATATTTTAATAAATGTCTGAAATATTTACCGGTAAAAATAATTTCCTTTGATGGATAGACAATTTGCCCTTTCAGTGGCAAAAACACGAAGGAATTTGTGGTTTTGTTGCGCCCCGACCGTAGTTAGCCATTTGACACTCTGAAAAGAATAAATAATAAAAAATGTAGCTACTACAAATAAACAAGGAAAGAAAAAATGGCTTTGGAAGAAATCGGCAATAGAAAATTATGAAAAAAAAAATGTCAAATTTATTTTTCACAATATATTTATTGAATCAGATAAAACCAGACATAAGACATGACATAAAACGTTACCATTATAGTCATTTTTTCTAATACTACATGGATATAGAACTGCGTTTATCGTAAGTATGCGTACGACTATTAGAATCATCATTTTAAGCACATCTCTGACATGTTCCTTTGACCTCCGCGTTGATTATTCGAATATGCCTCTCATGTTTAATTAATAACCATGATAATTTCATGCGCTTTTGTTATGTATGAAGCCGTAATAATTGTTGCTTGTCATACAAGAATTGGATCATAACGGTTATGAGGCGGTATATAATTCCTCTTTGAATTGGTGCGATTATAGTAATTTCTTGAAGTTCTGTTATTGTCCAAAATAACCGAGAGTCGCATCTATCGCTACAATAAGATAAGAGTATAATCACGATAGATGTCGCTATGTAAGAAGCTCTGGATTATTAAAAATAATTTAATATTAATCTAGGTTTTATAAATCCCCTATTTTTTATTTTTTAAACATTTTTAACATCTTATCAAAGCAATGTACATATTAGTGCAGTTCCTCAATATTACTATAGTATTATATCATGTGACTTATTAACTTACCATCAACATGATTCACGCAAGTTCTTTGATCTTCTCGAAATGCAGGAGTCTCTTTACGACATTGACAAGAGCACCCAGTGCCTCCAACGACACCCATCGCGGCCAAAGCAGTGCCATGAGACACTTCCATACAGCGAGTTAGGCCGCAATCAGGACCTGAAGCACAAAAGTTATTTGATTTTTCATTCATTTATTTAAATGTTCATTAATAATTATCTTTAGCCATTGCTTCTTTTTTATTTAATCTTTCTACGAAAACCTAAAGAACTCACCCACAAGGGTAAATAAATCACCAGATGCAAATCTGGTCACGTTTGCTAACGCCATCTCTGTCGCGGGGGTCGAAGTACTGGGTCGCAATAAGGCCATCAAAATCAGCAAAAGCGCCATCTTTACGTCATCATTAGCATACATAATTGTAAATTTGCATATTCTGTCATTTAGGATTAGACCGTAGGATGTCACTATTGCGACTTATTGCTTTTATAAATAAAATAACATTGTTGGCAATCATTCTTCGTATTAAATTTTCTTCCCGATCCTTTTTGGACATTCAATCTGGAATCAAAATAAAACGTTTAGTTATAAAATAAGAAATTGATTTTTTATGTAACCAGATGACTGATTACCACCGTCTTAGGATATAATTCACGATGCTGCATTTCCTTTGCCAATCTTAATTGACAGGTACTTCTGTACGAATGCTTCGACTTTACATTGATCTTATCTGAGGGCGTCTCAGGACCCGCTGGTCTACTACATAGCAGCAAAAGTTTCTGCGTGCACTACTCCACTCTTGAATTTTGGATACTTTTAAAAATAGCGTATAGCTGCGGTAGGACCATAATATGCAGTTTAAAAAAGTTTTACAATTAGTAATATATTATATAAATGTACAACTATTTTCACTATGTTTTCATAATCCCACGAAAACCGAATTTACATACATAAAAGTAAATGATGTCATAAAAGTTTTTAACTATGTATTGCATACAGTTAATATACTTTAGATTTTAATTTAATGGAAAACGTTTGTTTTATCGGATAAATGTATTTTGTGCACCTATTATGTGTATTATTCTATACATAAATGCTAATTGTATCATTTCTTAGTAAGTTAATTTGATCTTAAATTTTTAAATTAATAAATATATATTAGTTATATAGTAGTTAATAATAAAGTTGTAAAGTAAAATTAATTTGACATCATTATAAAAACATTAAAAATATGATTGAACGAACGCTCTTCTCATCTGTAAATGTTAAATATTATCGCATTTATAAGCAAAGCAAAGCTAAGATATTTTTAAATAATGGAAATGAAACTTTACGAAACGAAATTGACTAATACTTTAAGACTGTCTGCGAAATCGATGTTCCATTTATTTATGTCGTCTATCAAGGTGCCAGAAACAAAATACATTCAACTTTGAATTGCTTTCCAAATAACGCTACCTATTAATTATGCATGCTGTCTGCGGAAATAAATTTTATTCATTGCGATTATACAAAATCCGAATCGACTTTTTTCTTGTCATAAACAATCCGTGTTTCGACTTACAGTGACCATTATTCGGTTAGTATAAACACGATATTGGTATAAACGCAAGTTATAGTTTTTTATTACGCTCTTAGGCTCTGAAAACGACAACTTTTGATGTGAAACGGAAAATTTTGCATTTAATAATTTTATTCTCTATGGTGAATACCCTCTCCGCTCTCTTTTTAAATGTATTAAATATTTTTATTACTTGTCAAGTATATAAGCTTATTTGTCGGTTGACTGGTAGAGAACACCTAATGGTGTTAAGTCCGCCATTGTACGTTATTGTGCATAAAGTTTTTAAATAAATCAAAATAAATAAAAAATAATCAAAGTACTCACTATATTTTGATTTGATTCCATAAGCGACTCATGGCATACCAAGTGTAGTGACAATAGAGGGGAAGGATGGGAAATGTCATGGGCAGTGGCGGACTAAGGCCTTCAGAGGCCCGGGGCGGTAAAGCTGAATGAGGCCCCTAGTTTAAGTAATTGATCTAATTAAACAAGCTTTTTATTCACTTCACATTTATATATATGTATAAGCGTTTATCTTTATTTGGTTAAAATCTTATAAGTGAAATTTAAATAAGACTTAAACAGATTACACAGAATACAAAGATGGATGAGGAAAATAAAATACTATCAGCAAAAAACTATAAAAAAAAAGAAATAAAAATATCGCTTGGAATTAATATACACATTTTTCCCTTCTTTTTCGGAAAATTTATTTAATACATCATCCATACCGAAGACGATTTCACTTTTTCTAGATTTTCTGCCGCTATATAGAGTGTGAAATAGTGTCTTATCTGATATCCGACGGATATTATCCGTTATGTGTATTAATTAATTTTTCGTAATTAATATTATTATAACAGTATTAATTACGAAAAAATGATTATCATCCGTTGCAGTTGTAACTAAAAGGGTTTATAACAGAATTATATAATATTTCTATTTCTAATAGTGAAGAAAAAAATATATAAATAAATATTTAGGACACATTTGTACACAACATTTTCTAGTCCCAAACTAAGCAAAGTTTGTACTATGAGTACTAGAAAACTGATAAACATACTTAAACATACTTTTCTTTACATATTATACATATAGAAACACCCATACACTAGAAAAACAACATGTTCATTACACAATATTTTTCCAGTAGTGGGGATCGAACCCACACCCTCTGGCGCAGGAGGCAGGTACACTACCCACTACGCCATTCGGGTCTAAAAGACGACAAGCATTATATATAAATTCTCTACATGTTAATTATATTTTTGCAATTTTTAGTTTCGTTTTTTTCCGTTCTCGGCTGTTGCACGAATGGGCAGGCTCGTCCGGGTAAATGGAAGTATAATAAATACTTTCGCGCTTCGTCTGGTAAGTGAGATAACCGAAGCCCAATTTTCAAAATGTTGTCAACGCATCTGGAACCCATCTGGTCAAACAGATGTCCATGAGCGGCGGTATTCACTTAAAATCATGTGAAGTCTGCTCGCTTGAAACTTTTCCCATAAAAAGATACAGTTTCGCCAGGTCTGTACTGTATCCGAAATAATGCAGTAAAATTGTATGGTAAATAGTGTAGTAGAAAATGAGCTTTTTTAAATTATAAAACAATATTTTTCATTCATTCGTAGTTGACTAGACATTTTGTGTCTTTTATATCACCATGTCTTCGCCTTCGTATAAGATGGCCTTTTTTCCGTAAAGTACTAATCTTTATTACTTTGTTCGAAACGCTCATAAGTACAGATTATTTGCTTGTCTTGTTTTTCGATTACAGACGTAAGGAAACAGTGGGTATAATAAATTAACGTAACACAAAGGATTTATATTGCAATAAGGGTGCGACGACATTGATGTTCTGAGCTTCTGTGGGACAAATGAAAAATCAAAGAGCAGGAAAATAAAAGCATAGTCAAATGCTAGGTAATTTTAACGATAAGAAGTGCTTAAGTATAGAACGTAGAATAAATTCTAAACCAGAAAGTTTTAAAGAATAGAGACATAGGATATTTCAAGTCAATTTATTAATTGCATAGCATCGCTGAAAGGTAATTATGAGTCTTTAAACTTTCTAAAAGATTAGAATAACAGAAATACGTAATCGTGTGTTTGTGGTTCATTTGCATAATGAAATATTTGCCAACTCAATCGTAAACCTAGTGCAAAAGTGGATGTTGAAAATTTCTTTATTTCTTTGAGGATTGTGAAATGAATTCTGAAGTTACACGGAAAAGTTTTAGATGTGACTGTAAAAAATCACATGAATGACATTATTAACTAATATAGGAAAAGTTTATGTCTTTTGGATTTCTTCTTTTTTTTTTTTATATTCAATATACCAGTTTAATTAAAAATTATACCAGTCGAAATAGTATTAAGGAAAAAATTTTTGGGGATTACACATCTCGCAAAAATTAACACAAAACACTCGCATTTGCAAGAAGCTGTAATTTAATCAGTTCGTAAAGATGGAACTCGTATTAAAGGCATAATCCATTATATTTATAAATGGCATATTTTAAGGAGCAAAAAAGGTTATTTCAAAACGAATTTGCCAAAAACGGAGCACTATTAGGAACATGGCTAAATTTTTAATCAAGCTTCATAAACAACCTTAGCAAAAGGATATAAAACGTGATTTAAAATTGATTTCTTTGACAGCTTGGCCAAGCACAAATCTTTATTTTTCTTGCTAAATATTTAAACAAAATTGTTTCCTTTATTGACAACGCATGTCATTCCCGTCAATCACAAAGGATATAATGTCTTACTAAATTTTTAGGCTTTTATAGACTAGATTCGTTTGGGACTTAAGCCCAAAGATCGCTCCGAATTCTTTGTGCAAACAATGACGTCCAATACAAACAAATATTCTATTATTTCTTAGACATTCGACGATTTTATGGGGATTATTTCCTTTTTAGCCACCAGTAGCTAAAGATTTCGTAGATTTAAAATCCTTGAAAACATTTACAAGAATGCCTTAATGTAATAAATACCTTTCAAAGTCATATATTATTAAAACCATAAAGTTTGAAGGTTTTGTAATAATTGGCGGTTGCCAAAGTTCAACACGTCTCTTTACGTCTCTTCTTTTATTGTTATCCCCTTTATCTAAAATTAACACATCACTATTAACAGATTATTCAATCTGTGGTAATCAAAGAAAATCATAAACTTTCCGCCTGTGTGAAAGTTCAAAACGATTTGTGTTATGATCACCGCTAAGCTTGCATGCTATTAACGTTTGAAAAGTATAGAAAAATTATATGTCATTACACATGATAATTTATGCATGTGCTTTCATGACGCTAAAGTCACGTTTCGGAAAAGTGGAAGTAGCTTTACTTTGGATTTTGTTAAGAGAATAAGCGAAAAATGTTTCGTTTTATAGTTTTGAATTACAAGCTTTTCTTTTTATTACATTGGATTGTTCTATGTGAGCCTTTAGGAGGTCTTATAGGTCCACAGGGTTTAAGGTAGCCGGGCGCTGAGGGCGCCTAGCCTGAACCTCGTTTATAAATGGGCTCGAGGGCTCCCGGGTGACGTCTCTCTATCTCGGGCCGTCACTCTATTAGGTCATCACTCTATTAAAGACCTCATACTATTTGCATCACAAGCGTAATGCTTAGGGTAGCTAGCGTCAGACACGAGGCAGACGTCAGGCATGAGTTATCTGTATATCCTGTTTGTCCACTTTAGTAGTCTTAGTTGATCTCGCATTTTATTTTAACTGATGTTTTCGCTTTCAGTCCGTAGACTATTAAAGCTTCGTACGTAGAACTCGCGTGCTAGCCAAAACCCTTTCACACAGCCCTCCGCATTGTGT